TACAGAATAGAGCTTTTGAGAAATCTTGGTTAGAAGGATTCAGCGGATCATTTAAAACATTTACTGGAAAGTTGTCACATAGATTAAATTGTTTAGTAGCAAGGAAATCGAATAGACACCCACTAAGCATTCCACTACACCTATAGATGGACTAAACGGGATACACAGTCAGTGGGAAGTATTCTGTAGAATATCGGAAAAACTCTGTGAGCACTGCAGCCAGTTAGGAAGAATTCAAACAGCCTATAATTTACAAATTACTGAAAGAATTTTAAGAACTAATCTGGGCCCGGTTGGGTTGAACCGCCAAATTGAATATTAAATTCTAGTGATAGGTTTCAACCTCCGGGATAAACGAATGCAGGCTATCACTAGGTGCATTCTATTTAAGAATGACGTTTAAGTGAGTCGGTACTTTTAATTTTGAAAACATTCACCGGTTCGTAATAACTGACACTTGTGCACTAGGGTAGCTCTCCACCGTAAACGACTCGAAAATGTCAGCTGAGGTTTCAAGTAAGGCAATATCAACACCGGTGATCCCATAGTTCAGCTATCTATGGGAAGCATAACAGGAGCCCATTACTGCAAGTTAGGAAGTAGGCAAGTTTCAGACAAGGTACTAGTAATATACGTTTACTCACTTGCGTACACGAATATGACTGTTTGTTCCCGCAGTACATGCCAACAGATGTGACCGCTTTGATGTGAATGTTGAGCAGTCGGCTGCTTCTTATCAGGGCACTGCTTATCTGCCCTTTGAGTTAGGACGCTGTTCAAGGCAGCAGTAACCAGCCACGGACCCGGCTATCTCACAAGTTGCACAAAACGCTGCATGTGATCAAGTTGTTGCAATTTGTGCGGCATTGCACTGAAGCATCGTGGTGGCTTTGTCCGGTGCCCATATGATCAATCATGGCGATGCACGTAATGCACCCAGCCACATCTTGATTGACTTAAGGTGAGTATGTGAAGGTGAGTATGTGCCAAATCCCCAGTACTCTAGAGACCACTTTATGCTATTGTACTGTAACCGTCACCATATTGGACAAAATTTTCGCAGTAGTTATAATATATAAATTCCAGTGTTTACTCAAGGAAGGTGTATGCCCAAACTGCTGCATTTCGGGAGCGTGTAATCAGTAATGGGGTAAGTTCCAATATCTCGGAATGTGCCTGGAACCGACTGGGATCTCATGATTTTAGGTTTTGAATACAAATCGGTTTTTTGAAGGTTTTTATTATGGCGACCTTCCGCTCTTGACGTAAGAGCTTCTTCAGGCCAGGAGTAAGTTCCAGTCTATCATTATCCCAAACAATTGTTGTTAGTTGTTTTGCTTAGATTGACACAACATTTAGGATCACCTTACTCGAATTCATTAGTCAAATTCGGTTAGTTCAGTTCCCGCGTTGCTTTTCATTTGTGCAGTTGGTTAGGTATTTGGAGTAGAATTAGAATGTACGACTGAAAAGCACCCGTTTTATTTGATGACATCTGTGTTTATCTGCGTATTCTGACCAGTGGGCGCAATCTCATAAGCAGTTATTGTTGTAGAATAACTGGTGTTTATGTAAAGGTAGCAGCGGGTATGCATGAAATGTGTAGGGCCCTGTAGCTAATGCCTGCGGTTGGACAGATGAGCCAAAATTCAGCTAAGCTCTGAATTTTGAAGTGCAGTAGCTAATTGGCATTAAGTGTAGCGGATCTTCCTAGAGGTCGAGATTTGCTGGCACTGTCCTAGATTACTTTCCATTCTCTTGCTTCACACACTAGACAAGCATGTGCAAGTTGTGCCCACCAAGTAATCCTTGGTTCTGTTTTGAAGTGAAGGAATACAAATCTTTCTAACGTTAGGTCCTCAAACCCTTTCCAACGTTTAGCTCGGATAGGTCGCTAACTGACTGGTGTACCGCACATGTGTCAGTGGGATCCCGATTAGCTCTAGCCTAGTGCATGAAAAGAAATGAGGTGCAGCAACCTCCGCAGAGTAGCAAGACGTAGAGATTTTCGCTTAACCTACTTGATGCAGTGCACGAACTTTTACATGTTGTAAAAGACAAGCCGTGTGTGTTCGTAGTCCGCGCGGGTTGATTCAAGATTTTTGCCAGTCAGAGAACCCGTATGATTTCGGTAGTCAGGATCGAAATGAAATCTCAATGACACAGTAGGCTAAGGCTTTGAACCGTTAATGAGAACGTGGAGATAAGGCATCAACTGATCAACTTTAGGATCACCTTAGTCAGTTGAGTGAGGTTAATGTGACGATTCAGAAATATGCAACCGTTTCACCAGCAACATCACCCCTAGTCAGTTTTGGTAATGCATTTACACTCACCTACAGATTGCTCACCTAATGAGTGACCGACTATAAAGCAACGAGATGAAGCTGTTTTTAGGCCGTTTCATATAACTCCCGATCAGATTAAAGGTTGCACTTAGTCAAATGCATTCGTCTTGAAAAGAACAGCTCACCTGTTAGTGGTTTAGGGGGGCGGTGTATCAGGATTCCATTGTCTACTACTTATCGTGTCCCGAACTAAATGAGCTACCACCTTGTCTTCTTAGTTTTGTAGAGAAGATACATTGTTTCTGCATTAACTTGTTGTAGTAGGCTATGTGGCTGACGCGGTTGCCACTATTTGACGGGCGCACACGATCCAAAGACCAAAAGAGTAAGTTTTTCCTGAGATTTGAACACTTAATTGCATCAGCTGATGAAACATTCCATTAAGCACGCTATGCTTGTATTATGGCACGTACTGCTTTGTTCGACTCCTAGTCGGAACGGCGAAACTCACTTTACAGATAGTACACCCAGCTAATTCGAATCGGTACGGCCTAAGTGACCTAACCGCCAGACGTTGTACACGCGAGCTAAAAGTGGGAACGAAACGAAAACCTAACAAAACGGTACCAAATCCCGGAAAAGAAAGACTGGCCGGTAGCAAGAGTTGATTTATTAACTCAGTCAGAGACCAAGCTTGCCATCTACATCTTCGTGTTTCTAGGTCAATACTAGAGCAGCATGATACATAAACTATAGAGGAAGGTGAATATTGGCAACACACACGAGTTTCCACTTAGTGGCCGTATCTTAGGGAAAACGCAGTTGAGGTTATAGTGGCTTCTTGTGGCAGCTACCGCAGTGTCCTGAGGAGGGCTCGGTTGTTATTTGCTCAATCTGAGTCACCGTATGTATTGTCGAGGTGAACTCACACAAACCCTGCGCTAGTTTCATGGAGATATGCGAATTCCGCTACAACTTGTGAATTCAGAAGGTGCAAAGCCCTTTGCACTTATGCATTCCGACCAGGTACGTAGACATCAAAACTCATTGTATGACTCAGCTCTACTCGCCTGATGTTGGTTGGTGCCCATAAGGAAGCTACTTTTACATAGTTCTACTTCGACTAATCAACATACGGATCAGAATCCAATCACAGGAGTTTCATCAGACTCCAGGATCTAGCGTACATGTTGAAATTGGTACTCATCGGCGATTTATCCACCAGCTGTACGCGTCGCTTAGACAAGCAGTATCGGTCTGGGTGAGCATTTGTTCCCGCGGTCGCCTGCAAGTCTGTCAAACAGCATCAATGAATGTGGATACTTGTACTAGTTTTCACAGAGATTGCTTTCCTATCCGTTATGTGAGCAAAGAACACCTACATAAACCTCAAACAGGGCCTAAGAAGTCACAGCCAAAATGTGCCCGGAGTGTAGAGGAAACGCTCCATTTATTCCGCTAACAATTGCTGTTCTTGTGTCTAATAACCATAGAAGTACCAAACTGCCTCAGTCTGCTTGCGATACAACGGTAAAATGTAGTCAAAACATGTGATTTTACCACACACTTAAAAATTCGTGGTGTCAGTTTTCGAACATCGCGTCTATATTTCTTTGAATGGGGAGAGTTCGTTTGCTGTGCCGTGATCAATAGTTGAATGGCTTTCGCCCAGTGTAGCAGGTCAGTGTCTCTGTAGGAAGCCAACAGTTAAGATATCACCGGATTAGTCTAGAATGACATCATGGTTTCCTTATCTCCTTACTTTCCCCTTTCGTTTTCAGTGTTGTTAGGGCAACCATTTACCGTGCTTGGGACATCATGCATACTGATATGGTTCGAGCTACCTGCATCGGATTAGCTGCGTGAACATCGTCTGAAGCCCAAACAATAGATGACAAGGCTGAGTATAAGAGTGGTTTCTTACGAGCTATCTCGCAAACATATAAGATAAACCCTTTTGTTTTAATGGATTGTGAGACACTAGTATGCTTCAAAAGGGGCTTAGAGATGTTGACCACCTCTTTTCAGAACTATTGTAACTTCATTAGTGTCTGCAACAGCGGGACTACGCAAAGTGAAATCAGATGTTGATGTTTGAAAGTGCGAAGATTGCTCGCGTTTTTATTTTATTACCTTCGCAAAAGCATGGAGAGCCAATCAAACTTCAAAGTGCAAGGACTGGGTTTGCTTGCCTTTACATGAAACAAGGCGCTTGTCATGCAAAAGCTTGCATCATCTTTGGAACCTAACCCGACCATTTTGCGCTAACTACTCACCTCAGGCTCTGTCCTCCGTAGGCAGTTGTGACAACGGCTTGCAGCTCTTCATGTGGTGTTGGCTAAGCGAACCTTTCATCCAGCTTGGTCCCATACTCGGCGATTGTGATGAAGCCATCCGTTCGCGTATGTGGTGGTTGTTTTACATTTTAGCGCCCCACTTTGATTATGACCTAAATATGGAAGCCATCGGGATCCTCGACCGAACCCATACTGCATCTGGCCTGTTAGCAATGGTTCAGGTAGACTCTTTCAACTGGCTTGGAACATTGGAGTCGTCCGTGACCAGCCCTACCGTCAGCTGCGAAACCAATTTAACTTCCCAGTCAACTATTTGATCTCCCTGCTAGACTTAGTAAAGCCCATGCAACTAAGCACGTCTTTTATCTAATTACACACCAAATCTCACAATGAAAATTGCGAAACAGTAGGGTCATGAACAGGCTGTGAAGAATTCATTGTCTGGACGTCAACCAAAGTGAATTTATTTCGTAGTTCGAAGATATTTCTGAACACTGTGCATAAGGAACCAAGCTGTTGTGTTCTGTTGCTGGAGTGAGGGACAACCTCACAGAACATTGTTGGGTATGGGCATAAAGAGCATCTTAATCGGCGTTGAAAGTACTTCGGTTGGTCAGTACATTTTTCTAGGTCATCTGGTACACAGTGTCAGACAAATACGAAAAGAGTCGAAACTGCGAAGATCACTTCAGACGTGGTTAACCGCAGGTTGGGGGCGATGAACTCACAGTATCGGGAACTCTGAGGCTGTGATCTGTTTGTCATTTTTGATGTGGAATGATACGCTGTGCATGATGAACGTATGACTGAAATCAAGTAACCACTGGGATTTTGTCTCTGAGGCCACGATTGCTGTGTTCCAGGGTACCCTTCTGACTAGTTATAATCAGAATAGACCGCAGTCCTTTAAGTTGGATTTGATGATCACGTCAATGACGGCGTCGAAAACAACATGGATATTGTTGGTGTCCGTGGCACAAGTGAAGTGCGTGTAGATTGTTTTGGTAGCTTTCCTCCGGTTGAGCTCTTCAAACTTACTCTGGATGTAGGCTGACGTCTCCTCAAAACTCTGGCCGCCAGTATACTCAGGAAAGCAAATGGTCAGCGGTGATGTCTTGATTTTTTCCATAAATAGATCCTTTTTGTTTAAAAAGAGTATGATGCTGGTCTCAACAAACCATTGGCTGTTGCAAATGGATTCAAATAACTTCAGCGACTCATGCATTCGGTTCGTTGTCTGATCTTCGGCTAATTTTAAGTCGTACTCTGACATCGCCACAATAAATAAAATAGCGGTAACACCCTCGAAACAGTGCATCCACTTTTTTCTCTCCGACCGTTGACCACCTGAAAGAGAAAGATAGTCACAGTAAATGAGGAACAATATTACTGGGCAGTACCGATCAGCAAGTTAAGCGGCACTGTCTGTTAACCTATTATGCTGACAAAACTGGGCGACACTAAGTGTTGCTTAAAAGCAGACCCATGTAAAGTAGAAGTACTAAGTCAAGTCCAACCATACCGACGTAGGTTGCAAGGTAGAGGTGTGAAGATGTACCAAGGCCTCATAAATTAACATAATTGCCGATGACAGAAGTACTATGCTATGAGGATTAATAGACATGTTGAGGCTGATGTTACATTCATGATGCTTCTTCACCGCAGTTGGGCTAAATCAACTTACACTTAAACTAGGGGTGCTAACTTGGCTAAATTTCATTCTACTTTATTTGCTTGGTTCTGCCTACCAGAATAATCTTCTATTAACTGGCCATATTGCTTACACTAATTGTGGTTATCTTGGTTAACTTTATTGATTTTGTAGCACTATTTAAGTAACTTCTGGACATTTTGCTCTTCCGCGGATTCATTGCTAACCAACTTACTTCATATGCTAATTTGGCGAAGAGTTAGGTCGGCATAGCCGTATTCTTTAATAGCTATATTTTAGTCGATAACGTCAATTCAAGTGATTGGCTGTTGTTTGACTTCCCCGGTGTGGCTGCGCTTGAGGTGCATGTTGACAAGGTGCCTACCTGTCTATTACCCACTGCCTCCTCCATACTGACTCCAGGAGAAAGTTGGTCGTTGCTGGAGGGGACGGGGTGCACGGTTCTTGTGGTCGTGCTAGGCTCGAAGAGTAGTTCCACTCAGTATGGATCGGACTATGGTCCAGCCACGGACCTATGTGTACTTAATTCCCCAACTACATCGTGCTTGTGTTTGCCTGTGAAAGTGTGTGGGTCCACTCCGTTGATGAAACGTGACTCCCATCCACATGCCTCCCGGTCTTATTCCTTCGGTTTTACACTGGATATGGGATGTATGGATGGATCTGTGGGTGGTGCAGCGCAAGCCACCCATGGTTCCTCTGTAGGCACAGGCGTCCTGTGGCTGGCCACAGCGACAGACAAATCCGAAACCGGATGCCGCCAACCATATATAGTAACTCGTGCTGATATTGAGCACGCCTTGTTCTGGATGATCGTGTCGCTACTGGAGACAACATACAGAGCAAAGTTCCTTACTTGATCATCAATACCAAAGGGTTTGAATGTTGTACCGGAGTAAGCGCTTATCTGCACCAGTGAAAGGTATGGGTTAGTCTGTCGTCGTGCTTCAATGCTAAACTACGCTGCCATCCATTTGGTGCATGTCGTTCCTGCAATCTATAGAATTAACTCGATTTTCTGGATAATTGAAGCCATCAAAAGATCACGGCTTAATCCAACTTTAATACCTTACTTACCTGTATCAGACTGAGCAATGCGAAATAATGTCAGCCTCCCGGAATGCATGCGTGAGATTACTGTATACACAGACGCAGTTATCAGTGCTCCGGAGCTTCCAGTTGGATCAAGTGTTGTGAAGCTAGGTAACCGATCTGTGATAAGCCAACAATTCAAATGTATTTAGAATGCTTAAAAAGTAAGTGATCATAGAGTGTGCATCAGATCTCAGGTGGTTGCTTTCTCAAGATTTTGGTTCATCTTGATGGCTGAGCAACAACGCGGACAAAACTTCTTGATTTTATCGACTTGGGAACTTCGTACACCTATGTACGTCGAAGGCACGAATATATTTTCGCTTCTGACCCTTCATCCCAAAGTAGTCTTGACCACACAGATCGGCTTGCTATAACCCATTTTGGTGTGTCGAGTTAAGTGATGCCTAAGAGTGACAAGCGATAAGACGAATAACACGAAGAGACTAAGCGAAGGACGTGGTAGCCTTAATGAGTGGCCTGCTCCTAGTGAAGCGGTGGTCAATTGCCGGCGGAGGCAGAAACACTACATGACAACGCAATCTACGTAATAAACTGGATATGCTGATTACTGATTACCCGTTGGAAGCAGTGAGAAGAGTTTTCGCTGTTTAGCTGCATCTAATTTCACTCAGGAACAAAGGCCCCCTATGTTGGGATGCGCAAGACATATTTTATATCGTTAAAGTGTTTGCCAAGTAATTTTTTAAATTCCTACACGAAATTTGCCTCAACTATGTGCTGCGGCATGTCGCTTCATGCTTTCACCACTCTACGTTCGAAACAGAGTTGGCGAGCGACCAGCTTCACATCCGGACGACAAGCTTGTACCGGTGTCCTGGTTACAAAATAGGTTCCCACGTCTGTTCGTATCGTTTCCGTGTTCACTTACCTCCTGTTTCTGTTTCTATTCATTCCACCGACAAATGCAGTATGTTGCTATAGGAAAGGGGGTTACTTCAATTTGGTGCAGCACATTTCGGTTCACCAACCGTAAGTGGCAAATGGAATTGAAGTCAGTGTTACATTGTCGAAGTGTAGGATACTTCAGCGAGATCACAGCTCCCTCAAAGCTCTTGTCGTTGAAACAAGCGTGGGTCTTTCCTCAGCTAATTGGCAGATCATTGAACAATGAACAATGATTTATCATAGGATAAAAGCAAGTGCTTGACACGTCCCGTAGGACGGTTGGGGTGAATATGATGAAATCAAAATATGTCTGGGTCATCTATCGAACGTCTGCCTAGATGAATACTTTGATGGCATCAAAATTTAAAAAATTTCTAGCGTAAACGTTCAGAAATACACCACGGTGCTGTGATCGTGGATATAAGGCATGGGAAAAAGGAAAATACGGTGCTCACTTGGGTCCATTTGATAGAGAAATCCTGCAGAAAAGCGTGTCTGGCGTAATCCACAATTGAGGAGTTTAGGTAACAAAGTGCTGGGAGCTAAGAATAACATCTAATAGTTTTTGAAAATGTTCAATGTAGGGAAGGATGAAATTGAGTCTGGGAGTGCGTCCCACGGTTGGCAAACCCGAGGAGCAAAGTATTTACGTCAACACTCTAGACGGCTATATTGTTCCTTCAATCTTAAGCAGTTACCCCTGAGCTGCGTATTGTGGCTAAGTTTCAGCAAATGGTGGCATAGTGGTTGGGGTCACTCAATATCTGACACGCTAACATCAGATCACCACGTAGCCTTCGATAGCGTCTGCTGAAAATGCCCAGCAACTTCAGCCTTTGGTGGTAAGAGTGATAGCGCAGGCCCTTTACGTTCTTTGTTGCTCTTCGTTGTGGTGCCTCTAACGCCTCTAGGTCGCGCTTCAATCAAGGTTGCCAAGCTTGGACAGTGTATTCAACATGCGGGCGCACGTAGGAATTTTGCATCATTGAGAAGATTGATTGGTCGATTCTCCCAATGCATTTCGCATCAAGCAGACGTGCTAGTTGCATCTTTTCGTAGCTACCCCAGCCTGTTTTGAACAGTCGAGGTCGAGCTGTTCGAGCACACCAAGGTCACTTTCCCGGGAGCTAGTCTGCAATTCGTTTGTCCCAAGCAAATATGTGTAGTTATCTCTATGGCGTAATTGTAGAACGCGACAATTGTCTACGCTGAATGGTAGGGTGTTTTGAACTGACCCGTTTGACAATGTCTTCAGATCGCACTGGAGATGCTCGTGGCGGTCCGGTCCTACAATCCTTCGTCAGATCTTGATATCATAAGCGAAAATAGGGAAGCGGAAGCAGTTGATCTCGCCAAATCATTAATAAACACCAAGAATAGACGAGGTTCAAAAACCGAGTGTTGTGGTAAACCACAAACCATACCGATTGTATCAAACAGTGATTCTCGGACTCTCACTGTTAGCCGTCATTCTTGCAGAAAATTGCTAATCAAACTCGGGATTGGGTCGCCAGTGCCGTAGTTCCGAAACTTCTTAAGGAGAATTCGATGGTCTAAGCAATCAAACGCTTTTGAAAAGTCCAGGTAGATGGCATCGACTCCTACTCCATCATCAACAGCTTCAGTCCAGCTATTACGTGCAATTAATCGGTTGGTGTTACATTAGCGCATTTGACGGAAGCCATGTTTCTCTGGGGCTATTAAGTTATGGCATTCCAGCTACTACATCAGCGCATCTGCGATGATTGATTCCATCACTTTGGATAGTACAGGAAGTAGTGTTATAGGACGGTAGTTGGTAGGGTCAGTGCGGCTACCTCCTTTATGGATAGGAGTGATGACCCCTCGCTTCCATACTGGTGGAATACGGTTCTCTTCTAGACATCACTGATAGAAAACAGCTAGTGGTTCTGCTAGATCACTAGCTGTCACCTGCAGAGCCTTTGGTCGAATGTTGTCGACTCCAGGAGAACTGTGGATAAAACAAGGATAACAACTTCTTTAACACAGCTTCCGAAGTGAAGGTGATATTGTCTAAACCCGACCGTGGAGTAATAGAAACGAGGAGAATGTTTGGACTCGTTACCTGCTGGAAAGTTTGACAGTAATGAAGCCATAGGAGATCAGCTGCTTCCATTGCTGATCGCGTGCACCCATCAGCCGTGACTAGTGCTGGAATACCCCGCTTCACCTTCCAAGGCCGTTAACGTGCCTGTACAGAAGTTTGCGGTTCGTGCAAAATCGCTTTATTAACTCCTGCTGATGCGTGAGCTTGTCCTCGCGGATAAGTTTCACACAGAAGTTACGGTGTGTCACATATGCAGTCCAGGTTTCGGCCTTCGAGCAGTCCTTGTGAGTTCGACATGGCAAATCCCTCCGGGACGTACATTTACGCGTTCTGTTCCTCAGAAATGGCTTATGCTTGTTTTTCGGTTGGAATGACCTCTGTACGGATGCGTGCGCTACCACTGTGCTAAACGTTCCTATAAACGTTTCCTGGACAATATCTGAGGGGCATTCGGTTAAGAAAGTTCAAGATATATCCTTAACAAGTGTAAATAACACATTGTAGTGCGTAGCAGTATGCACTTTATCATCCTTCTTTTCAGGATACTCCGCATAGCATATGTAGTCAAAGAGTAGAGTAACATGATCAATGCGACCCAGTGGTGTGCTTGCAACTATCCCGTCAGCCATGAGTTCTTCGTTAGTTAGTACGAGATCCAGTATCGACGGCTTGTTGGCAGTTCGAAATCTGGTGGGAGAGGTTACGTGGTTGTACAGAGGGTGGCTGGCAATTAGCTCTTGCAAGCAGGCTTTAAACTGCGTACCATCGGTTGCCGGCAATTCTATGTCGTGCACATTAAAGTCTCCAGAGATAAGAATGTTTGTGTAGGGCTTGTTCAAAGCAAACTGAAATTTTGCTTTGGAGTCCATTTCCGACGTTGAGTTTGCTGGGCGGTAAATCATGGCCAGTTGATATGTGTCCTTGTTTCGCAACCATAGGCAGCACAAAGCGAATCAGGAACTCGGATTTCCGGGTGATCGATAACTTCACATCGGTAGTTTGTATTAAAATAAAGTATCTCACCGCCACCCCTTCCGGTTCTATCGGTCCGAAGCAGCGACATACCGAGTAAATTGATCTCAGAACCGGTTATCTCAAGGTTTAACCAGTTCTCTGTAACAATGATGAGGTCCCGCGCTTGTGAAGCATGGAATTTTCTAAGTTCAGCCAACTTACTTTGAAGGCCTTAGGCGTTTGTGTACATGCAGGATAGGGCTTTTGTTGTAAGGAGTGAGTTGATGGATGTCAACTTTGTGTACGTTTTAAGCCGGCCGTTAAATGGTCGGACATTAACCGTTTTTTGCTCTATGAATTTCTGTCAAGTTGCATGGCATTATTGAGCGTTCCTGACCAGACCTTTAACTAGTGATATGCTCTCTCCCGTTGTGTGCCATGGGCGCTGTTGTGTCGGTCTCTCCGCAGGACTGTGTAGATAAAAATTTGCAGCGTTTGCAAGTTCAATCGAATGGTTTACGACTTTTGGCCATTCACCTGCTGCCTTTAGCTGGATCTCTGTTCGCAAACTGGCTTGAAACTTTAACCAGCTATCCAGCAGAACTTGCGTCATTCCCTCGGAGTGTAATATTGTTTTCATTAGTCTTGGACCGCAGCCCTTGTAATTAGGTGATGATGGAACTCTTGTTAGGGATTTGGCAATAAGCTTGTCAACAGAGAGTTCTTCGCGGATGTAGCACTATTGCTCCCGCTCATGTGTTTGTGCATCGTGATCAGAAGAATGCAGAAGCTCGGGAACACTATGAACAAATATTGTTTTCTTGCTATCCCTATTAGCAATACCGCGTTGGTCAGCTGCTTCTTGTGGCCGATCTTTCCACGGTATATCAGGTAGTATGCGCACTCTGCTCGGTGAGTTGCGAAGACGAACTGCTGAGAGCAGGACAACCTCTGTCTCATCTGCTGAGTTTAGTGTTGCGCGAAGAATTCGAGGTTCACCAGCGTGCACCGAGGTCGGGTGATGCGCTACGCGTTGCAACGTCAACCCGAATACCAATCGCATCGCAGATGGAACTCCACTGGTTGCGATCGTCTTGCAACTTGCCATTTATTGTGCCAGATTTGGATTCGGGAACATTGATGCACACGAGAGTTAACGCAGCGTGGTTTTGTCTAGCGAGTGTTGGCTTTATACTTTTCGCCGGCAATTTGGGCTATTTAGAAGGCACCACTGGAGTTGACGGTGATAGCTGCGTTGTGCCACGCGTGCTCGGTACAGAATATGGACATATGTATGTCGCTCCCGGTGTGTTTGTTGAGGCAATCGATGGGTACGTTACATGCTTGTTATCTGCACTGGATTGCCTTCGGCTCTGAGCTGTGGGTGTCATGGCTGAATCTCCAGGTGAAGTGTCTATGGTTGGAGAAGTGGAAGCAGGCATGTTTGAGGCTTGCCCACTTACGGGAGTGAGGTGACCCAGTGGATTTAGAGTCACAGACGCTGCAGTGCGGTTGGAGCATCTAGCACTCTTCTTTTGCTTAGATTCAGAGCGTACTTTGGTTGGGTGAGGGATTATCTTGACCATATTTACCTCCGTGGGATCGATCTTAGTATGTACAAAATGCGCGAATATCTCAGTCATTCTATCGCACTTTTTCATGAGCAAAGCTAAACAGTTGACAACTGGAATGACTTGACATGTGCAAAACCAAACTGTGTCCGCAAATTTGTTTGTTTGTCTCACTTCTTGGGTGGATTTACCTACACATTGCGGACAGTACGATCTAATGCAGCTAGAACAGGTTACCTAGATCTTAAGGACTTCACTGCAATTGTCTACGCAACATAGGCGACGTTGAACCATTGGTATGCTAGTCATCCTCTTATTGTTTGCAGCAAGGCCTATCTGAGCGCTCACCCTGTGAGTGTTCTTTGCGCCAGGGGTGATGCACGTATAGGTCAGAACGCGCACACGAATTGAGAGTTGTTCAACCGCACCAAGGTCAGGTGGTAGAGGCAGATGGAGGTCGTAACGCGCAGACTGTCGGGTTCAGCACACAATCGACTCGCAGTTGAACATACACACCCACACCAAGCGGCAGATGGAGCGCTGATAAGTGTCCCTAGAGCCGTTCAGTTGATGAGCGGAGCAAAATGACTGTAACTTTGTTATGCTGCAACTTGCAGGGTTGGTTGCCGCGTAGTTTGTGAGCCCTCAACTTCTTCCGAATGAGACCAAAATCTTTTCCCAATATCTTCGTTTTGATGTAGTTACATACGTAGAACTCGGCAATGAATATGCCGAAAACTGGGAACTGGAGCAACAGTATAATCCACACAGGTTAGATCCAAGAGTTGGGAAGCACTGAGTAGAGCTCGTGGAACTGGTTCAAACGAACACACGCACAATCTTGTGTGGGGAGGATTAGAGTGGCCACAGAGGGCAAATCGAGAGCCGAGTTAAAGTGCGGCCGCACGGTAAATGATGTAGAGTTTGCGAGACGGAATTCGTGGGAACTGGATGATGGAAGTAGGGATAAGCTAGTTGGCTCAGAAATCCCCCAATACTCACCAAGATGGAGCTCACATAAAACTCACAGACTGTAATGATTTGACCTGTTCCTTTTGAGCCAGTAGAACGCTTGCGCCTTCAAGCATTAGTTTTGCGATGCGCTTCATATACGGCTTAGCATGTTGGGATGCACATTTTTGGCCGAACGCGTCCAGACAATCCACCGTTGGCATGGACATGAATCGCGTATAAAACCGCATCACACGCTGAATAGCGATTACTAAATTCCAACAGAAAATGTAAGCTTAAATTTACAACGAGTTGAAAAAGTAACCTTGACTCCGCACCCTGAAAGTGCCCGATAGCACTTTTGAACGATATTTACCTGACATGCACTTCGTATGTATCCAGTTTTGCGTATCCGCCACCTAAAACACAACGTCGGCGACAGTATTGACACATCTGAGTAGGTCTACATGCTAAGAACTTTGACTGAGTTGTCATTTTATCCATGATGCCAGTTAGTAATAAAGCTAGACATTGAGGCAGAAAACAGGTCATCCTGCAGGTATTTTACCGTCACCAGTTGATGAAGTTGAACTATGACTTAAGAAATATTTCTAAATTATTGAGAGCGCAAAACGGGAGACTGTTCCTACCTGCCCTTTCTACATCAACTATCGAAGACTGCCCAATCTTAGCATGACCACAGCGAAGCATCGGCACACGCGTATAGAAACGCAACTGGACGTACGTATGGAGGTAGCCCTAGTTCTAACAACTGGAGCAACTAGTTGTGATAACGTAATCGCTGTGTCATACTTCTCCTTAGGGATGAATTAGTATACCGACCGGGTCTAGCAGCAAGGTATTGCGCACTAGCACAAACACGTACAAATATGTGAACAGCATCCAGAAAGTGAGGCGTGGTGTTCCCCCACTCATCCCAGAAAACGGATGTGCTAAAAGCACCGAGGATGCAGTCAACGCTAGAGATCTACTTTATATCCCAATATATCGACACGCCGCCAGCACGTGTCACATACCTGTACCGTTCCTCCAGAGGTCACGATTTACCTACGTCACTTACAGTTCAGCGAGTACTATAAGGAAGCTGCCATTGTTTTGTAATTGTAGTTCACTCAGAGGTGACAAAGTTCATCCGATAACCATGCACATAACAGCCGCGAAGCTAGCTCAGCCGTTAGCGGGTACCTTTCAAAACATTGCTTGGATGAACAGCAGGTCTTTACTATGTTGAAGTAGAGTATAGTTACCCATTTTAAGGGTGGTAAGCGCTCGGAATCGCCCAGTGACTCTGTTCGCAGTACTCCAAAAGATGATGGAGCTGATCGTCACTGAGGTACTAACGGGCTATTCAGTAAGGTTAACCTTCATGGCACAGGAACCACATGATTTTCGCCAACATTGTCCATCTGGTACCAACCTACTGGTTGCGCCTGGCAGTTGGATAGAAATAGTGGATAATGAGACCTGGACCGATGACAAATATCTATATTCTTCTAAAGCATTCGATTGCTTCGGTCGCTGCAGCCTTTTTCAAAACTACATGCCGTCAAAATTGGGAACCCTGTTTTTGGCTGAATCGGAAATTTTCTTCTTTAGCAACTACTGCAGGTGTGGGTTCGGGGTTCATTTTCCAATCCTACTGAGGTAGGCTGCGGTGTTCCAGATGCATCAGTGTTGGTACCCGGCTTATTCTTGATTTTAATCAGCGAGCACATGTGTGTCACCGGGTCACATTTTTTAGCTTTTGCTCATGACATCAAGGTATGTCAGTATGTAGGTAGGTAGACAGTAAAATAATAATTTGCTACATCAATACCTGGAGAGTGCTTTTAAATGATCAAAAAAAATTCACCTAGTTCGACACACACAAGTGCGAAATAGTACATTGTTGAAGGACCGTTACCTAATAAGTTCGAGTGCGAAGGCAAAAGACAACATTAGGCAAATCCCACAATAGAAGAACAAGCAAGCAAAGTTGCGCTATAGTTCTTCCTTCAGTTAATGTTATCCTGATGCCGACTAGCGACTCGAAGATATAAATCCGACTATTGGAAAGACGTGGCAGCAGCACAAGCAGAGGCAGTAGCAAACGAAAGCAACACGACGCGAGCGCGTTAAACTTGTGTTCAAAATTTGGGAAGTTAAACAAATGGTACAAAATGGTCGGTAACGGAAATGATAAAATTAAAGATAAAATATAGTGTAATCTCAAGCACTACAGAACACCCCCCACTAGAGCTTGCGATGGTAAGCAACGCTCGATAAAGCACGCACGGAATATATTGTACCAGTGTGTAGGCGAATGAAACAACGCGACCTGAACCTGGGTGCATAGGATCACTTGTTTGGGGGCAAAGGGATTCCGAGTTTTGAGAATCGGTCATGCGTTTGTCAGTGAGCAACGGCCCAGGCACAGATGGGTTGTGATTGGTTGCGGTTGATTCTGAACTATTGAACCTTGAATCGACGTATGCGGGTTTAAGACGACCAGTGCTCACGGACTCCTTTGATTCATTCTTATCCAGAACGAAGTACTTCGGTTTCCGCGATAAGACCTTGTATGGACCTTCAAAAGACGGTGTCAAGAGTCTTCGAACAGCATCGATGCAGACAAAGACGAATGGACAAGTGTGTAAGTCAGGATGCATATGCTGCTCACGCGTAATTAGTCGAGGTGGTATCGTTCTAGTGGATCAAAAAGGGTGCTTCAGGCGTTCATCATTGGACGTAGGATTCAATTCGCCGGTAATTCGTGAGTCCAGTACCATCTCGCCTGGAAGTCTGTGGGTTGTGCCAAAGACAAGTTCGGCTGAGCAGCATCCGATATGTTCTGTGACGGTATTGCGAATAACAAGAAGAATAGCTGGAAGGCCTTCAGACCAACGGGCATCAGGCGGCCTAGGTCTAATGACAGCTTTCAGTTGTCGATGAAATCGTTCGACAAGGTCATTGGCAGCAGGATGATAGGTAGTCGTCTGAAATGAGCACAACCGAACAGTCGACTCAAGTCACGCAAAAGGGTGGAACTGTGTTGAGATCCTCCGTGAATAGTGACAGTGGCTGGCACACCAAAGAACGAAATCCACGATTCAACGAAAGCACGAGCAACCGTTTCAAAGGATATAACACGTAGGAGCACTGTGTGAGGAAAACGAGTACAGCGATCAACACACGTCAACAGATAATGAAAGCCGTTAGAAGCTGGTAACGGTCCTACTACATCAACGTTGAACGTGTTTGAAACGGGCTTCTGGGAGTGAAAAATACCAGGAGTTGTAACAGTGTGTCTGTGAACCTTACTGGTTTGAAAACTAGGGCAAATTTTGGCCCGTTGTCGGATGTCTCAGCTCACATTGGGCCACATGTAACGATCGGTAATTAGTTTCACAGTAGATCGAATATTTGGGTGCGAGAATCCATGAAGATGCTCAAAGACATCTCCCCGGTAGGAGTGTGGAACAAACGGTCTAGGCTTATCGGTGGTAATATCGCAGTAGATCCTTACGTCAGAATTATGCAATTGCATCTGCTAGAGTTTTAACGAAGTATTCGATCGAAGCTGTGTTAGTTATGGGTCACGGGCATGGGCAAAAGACATTTCCTCTAGATCGATGCGCGAGAGTGAAAATTGCTGGATGTGAGCACAGGATAGTGCGTCGGCAACAAGGTTGTTAAGACCATCAATATAGCAAATATCAACGCAAAACTGGGAAAGACAATTAAGGTGTCGAGTCTCTCTAGGGGAGTAACGGTCAGAAGTTGCACGAAAAGCATACACAAAGAGCTTATGATCTGTCAAGATGACCAAACGTCGGTCTTCAAGGATGTGACGAAAATGCTTTACAGCCAAGTACATGGCAAGGAGCTCCCGATCGAACGTACTGTACCTTGTCTGGGCAGATTGCAGCTTCCGTGAGAAGAAAGACAAGGATACAATTTCATTACCCACGAGCTGCTGCAATACGGTACCAACGACGGATTGTAAAGTGTCTATCTTGAGAATGAGAGTGACGTTATCTTCCGTTCTCAAGTAAGCAAGTGAAGTAGCTTGTCCCAGCTTTTGATTTACTGCGTTAAACGCTGCTTCGGCGTCTGGAGTGAAGGTGAACTTTTGGGATTGCCTTCGAGCAAATCAGTTTAAGGATGAAGAATTGCAGCGCAGCCATGTGTAAACCGTCCGTAGTAGTTAACCATGCCAAGAAAACGACGTGGGCACTTAACGGATTGCGGCGATGGATAAGCAAGTGTGGCTTGAGTTTTAGCAGTCAAGGGGCGAATCTCGTTAGAGTCAATTCTGTGGCCTAGGAAGTCAATGGAAGATTGGCCAAATCCTCGCTTGTTAGGGTTAATGGTGATACTGTGGTGCAATACTTATGAGTACTATGGATATCAACGAGGGCGCACAGGGGAATCATGAGACGCCGACAGACGAAGGAGGTGTGGTGGAAAATCAACCGGATGACGTACACGAGGGGCACGAGGCAATCTAAACAGATGCTCGGTGAATGAAAGGTTGCAACGGCGCATCGCTCCGGAAAGGTGCCGCGAATGTCATGCGCAAATTGGACTCGCGTTCCTATGTTCGAGTTTTTATGTTAATCAGACTTGCGTTCTCCATGCAATACCGTGTCCGTCCCTCTTTGTGTCCGCAACATTTGGTATCGTCGTCAACTGCAAGTGGGAAATGAAAATTCCTTGGCCTGGGTCCTTTGAGGATGGCGGTTTACGTAAGTTGTTGGAGCGCTCCGAGGAAGTTGCAGAGGCAATCGGGGTGAAGCAGGGCCGGGCGAAGTTGGTTGCCCTGCGGAGCCTCCTCAAGGATAGGGCGAAGGCTATTCTGGGTTTGGCGCCATGGGGTGCTATCGGGTTGGGATGGGACGAAGCGGAGGATACACTGGTTGCGGCGGTTCAAGGCTTGAAGCGGGAGCGGACCTCTTCGTCTTCGCGGTCCACCTCAGTGAATTGATCGCCCAGGTGCTGTCTAAGTTGGATGACAAGTCAAGGCAACAACTGTTGGTGGAACAGTTTTTGGATGGTCTCCCTCCGACGGTAGCCGATCGTCTCCGGATTGTAAACGCCACCCAGAGAACTGGCACGACGGGGCTTGCCCAAGTAGCGAGGGAGCTTACACATGAAGCAGCTGCCGCTTTGACAACGGAAGACAAAGCAAAGGAAGAGCGATTGAACGAGTTAGAAGGGAAACTGGAACAGATTACGCAAGACATCAGGGCACTTCAATTTCCCTCACAGAAGTTACGGCTGTAGGGACGCTGCTTCATTTGTGGGAAATTGCGACACTGGAAACGCCAATGTCCGTCAAATTGCAGTACAGCCTTTGTACGAAATAAATGCTACCAATCGTACTGTTCTCGTGTAGGGGAGTGCATCCTTGGGGCGT